GATAGATTACTCATGTATATAAAAAAAGAAGACAAATAATACAATGCTATAATTTTGGAAACATGTGTGAAATTTGTGAAGCTATAATTACGTTTTTTTGTTTTCCAAATCCATAATTTTAGGCTACATTTAATGATTGTCAATTTGTTGTTTAAAAAATTCAAAATATTTTTAAAAATGGCATGCAATTAATGTTGTTGGTTTTTTTACTTACTATTTTTAAAAAACGTTAATTCTTTTTATATAGATAGATATAGATAACCCGCGTTGGTTTAACAAAAGGGGAAGCGTTTAAACGGGAAAATATAACCCACCGATGCGGATGCTCTAAGTATATATATTATAAAAGTACCAATTTTAGTATGAGAATCAAACTCATATATAGTTTATAATCCAATAAAGATAAGATACCTTTTTGCTGTAAAATAAAACTAGTATTCGACCTGTGCATTTGCACAAATGTAAATAAAATATTGTGAGTTATTTGTATGCATATAATGATTAATTATTTTTCTTTCACCTTTTTGCTGGCCAAATTTACAATTAAAGGAATTGAAATGTCTATTTTTTTTTTTAAATTGCGTTTATCTGATTGGATGTAATGTATATTTAGGTACGTCTTTTTTTTGTGAATTATTTATTATTTATTTAAGAATTTCAAATATGTTATTTATTTTAAAGATAATAATAATTTAAATTTAACCACAATTATAACATCTAATCACATTATACGGTAAATGTCAATAATCAAAAGTTTAAAATAATTTTTGTAATTTTGAAGTGATTAGTGTTAATTATTTAATAATTAAATGAAAGATTAGATACATAAAAAGTAACGGTTTTTGGAGGGAAAAAGATTAAATTGCCACATAAGTAAAATTAAATAGGTTTTATTAAATGCTATTAGCTAGTAATTATATATATATATAAATTTCGGGGGATTATGTTATGTGGTGGTGGCCGATTTTTCTCCGGAAGTTGCTTTTTGTCATTTAATGGACGATTTTATTACAACATGAATGAATTGTACAATGAGATGCAAATGAGTTTTTGATTTGTATATCAATGGAAATATTTAAATTTAATTACTTGTTGTGTTGTATATAATATGGGAAATATTTAAATTTAATTAATTATTGTGGATTTTACAAAATAGCTATTTTAAATTAAGCTTGTATTTAATTGAGATTTTTAAAAAATTTTGAAGAATTTTTAAGACTTTGAAAATTATGGTATAATTTAATTTAGAGTTCTCAAGACTTACAAAAGTCTTGAGATATCAATTTGGTATTCATTCCGATGTATTTAATTATTTGAGGTTCAGATTTGTTAAAACTTTCGAAGATTTGTTGGGATTTTTTAAAAAATAAACATATACTAAAACTCATTACAAATCTCACATCCAAACTTAAAATTTCACAAGATTCCTCTAATTTAAAATTTTCAAATCTCGAATAGCCTTTAAATGTCACTCGAAATTCCAAACGAATACACCTACTTGTCGTGGATTTTACAAAAGCTACTTGCTAAAGAAGTATGAATGTCTAGTTGCCACTTAAAATTGGTAAATTTTACTAAATGTAGTTAAGACTATATTGTCGAATTACTAAAATCAAAAACAACTTTAGTTACTAAAAAACAAAGTATCATAAATTAGTGAGAATAAATAGATAAAATATTGTGAGTGAATCAATTTTTTGATAATAAAAAAAATTATTTTCGAAATTCAAAGATACTAAAGTTAATAAGGAAAAAAGAGAAATGTAACGGCTACACAGTAAATGAGGTTTTGACCAATATTAACATAACAACACATTAATACAAATCAAACATGTTTTCATAATAAAATAATAAAAAAATAAAATTGAAAAGTAACGGTTTTTGGCGGGAAAGTGCCACGTAAGTATAATTTAATAGGTTTTATTAAATGCTTATGAGCCAGTAATTATATATATATATATATATTAGGAAAGGCAAGTGTATATCACGCGATCCATGATACACATCTAATTCCATTGCCTTCCCATATTTCAACCAAAAAGGCTTTCAGCACAAAAATAGGAGAATATCGCTCCAAAAATACCCTCGTCTCAGTTCGTCACTTTTTGAACTCCAATTGTGTAGCTGTTTGTGAACAAAAATTCAATTCAATGGAAGCTAAGACGATCGTCCTGAAGTCATCGGATGATGTGAAGTTCGAGGTGGAGGAAGCCGTCGCCGCCATGTCACCGATTATCAAGCCGATGATCGACAACGACGGCGCCTCAAACGCCATTCAAATCCCGTACTCGTCGGAGGTGCTTTCGAAGGTGATCGAGTACTGCAGGAAGCACGCCGGAGAGGAATCCGAGGAGAATCTGAAGGAATTCGACGCCGAGTTCGTAAAGCTCGACATCGACGAGCTGCTTGACCTGTCCACGGTTATTTTCTGCCTCCAGCTTTATGTTTCGGTTTGATTATTTTGAGTATTTTGACTTGAATATTGTTGATTTTTTCTGCGTGTACTCTTTCGCCTACTATTGATGAGATGACTCTGTGTTTGATTTGTTGTGTTGTGTTCGTGCTGTTTCCGTGCATTGTTTCTGATCTTTGGTTTCGTTGGGTTTTGTAACCGAAATTGTGTTGTCCTGCTGATCTATTTTCTGTGGGCTATGAATTGATGATCCTTTGATTATGCTCGACTTTGCTGCGTTTACTCTTTTGCCTATTTAGATGAGATGACTCTGGGTTTTATAAGTGTTATTGCTGGTTGTTTGCATTGGTTTTGATCTTTTATGGTGTTGGTTGGGTTTTGTATGACCGTAACCGTGCTGTCCTGCTGTTCTATATACTTGTTTGTTCGATTTCGATAGCTTGTATGTATGTGGGTTATGAACTGATAACCTTTGATTATGCTAACACAATGGTATTGTGTATTAAATGTTCTAAGATTGTGCACGTATGTGCTGGTTTCCTTTGTTGCCGTGCTAGCTTTTGCAGTTTGTTTCGCTATTTGTGTTTCCCTATTTAATTTCCTGATTATGATGCTGACTGGAGTACGAATTTTATTCTATTCATGGATTGTATGTGCTAAATAATATTGTCTGGTGATTTTGATACAAGGTTGTCTTCAATGTTTGCATCGAGAAGCTTTCTTACGAGCATAACATGATGAAATCAGTGTATTTTTTTTTTTCATTTTGTTTAATCGGTAGTGGTCGCTTCTTTTCAGGTTGCACATAGCCTGAACATCCAAGGGTTGCTTGACATCACGTTGCAGACTGTGGCGGACATGATGAAGGGCATGTCTATTGAGGAACTTCGCAAGCTTACGAGAATTCGTGATGCCTTAGCCCATGCGGAGGAGGAAGAAATTCGCCGGCAGGCGATGTGGGATGACTTGGAGTGATGACAAATGGCCGAGAGGATGCTCGAATGTTTAAATTTTTCTGCTCTATGTCTAGTAGTATTAGGTTTGCCTTGGGGCTAAGTGTTGAAAGTTTGAAACATTTGGTTTTCTTTTATGCTTGGAGGCATTTATTTCCCTTCGGTTCTTTCTGATCTCACCAAATCCAGACCCTATTTGGATGATTTATGCTAATTCTGAATTTCTGAAGCCTACTTTTGATTTTTTTTTTTTTTCATGTTTTAGTTTGAGATGCTTGGTTATGTTGTGTTTGGTGTTGTGCTCATGGGCTTTGGGGGCTTTTGTTACTGAGAATTTCACTATTCTTGTCTGCTTGATGGGAACTTTACTATTTTTGTAGTAGTTGTATATGAATTGTGAAATGTGAATGAAATTCCTCCAAACAAATACCACTTTGAATACTAATATGGGGAGATTTTACGGTCCCGTTACGGAACTATTCCGTCGGGTTTGTAAACATTAGATCAACTATTCACGACCGTTACATGATGATCTAACGGTTACAAATCCCGACGGAATGGTACCGTAACGGGACTGTAGCATTTCCTACTAATATGAACCCTTTCATTATTCTTTCAGAAAATAAAATAATGCCCCAAATCTGCATATATTTCTTTCACAGTTTGACTTCAAATGACCAACTCAACTGCACTATAGAGGGTAGTTTCAGAAAGCAAGAATAAA